AGGAAATTTTGCGATTTTTGCAATTTTCAGTCATTTTTGCGATTTTTGCAATTTTCAGGAATTTTGCGATTTTTGCAATTTTCAGTCATTTTTGCAATTTTCAGGCATTTTTGCGATTTTCAGAAATTTTTGCGATTTTTGCAATTTTCAGTCATTTTTGCGATTTTTGCAATTTTCAGGAATTTTTGCTAATTTCAGGAATTTTTGCGATTTTTGCAATTTTCAGGAATTTTTGCTAATTTCAGGAATTTTTGCGATTTTTGCAATTTTCAGTCATTTTTGCGATTTTTGCAATTTTCAGGAATTTTTGCGATTTTTGCAATTTTTGCAATTTTCAGGAATTTTTGCTATTTTCAGGAATTTTTGCGATTTTTGCAATTTTCAGGAATTTTTGCGATTTTTGCAATTTTCAGTCATTTTTGCGATTTTTGCGATTTTTGCGATTTTCGCAATTTTCTGTCATTTTTGCGATTTTTGCTATTTTCAGGAATTTTTGCGATTTTTGCAATTTTCAGTCATTTTTGCGATTTTTGCAATTTTCTGTCATTTTTGCGATTTTTGCAATTTTCAGGAATTTTTGCGATTTTTGCAATTTTCAGTAATTTTTGCGATTTTTGCAATTTTCAGTCATTTTTGCGATTTTTGCGATTTTCAGTCATTTTTGCGATTTTTGCGATTTTCAGTCATTTTTGCGATTTTTGCAATTTTCAGTCATTTTTGCGATTTTTGCAATTTTCAGTCATTTTTGCGATTTTTGCAATTACTGCAATTTTCAGGAATTTTTGCAATTTTTGCAATTTTCAGGCATTTTTGCGATTTTTGCAATTTTCAGTCATTTTTGCGATTTTTGCAATTTTCAGTCATTTTTGCGATTTCTGCAATTTTCAGGAATTTTTGCGATTTTTGCAATTTTCAGGAATTTTTGCGATTTTTGCAATTTTCAGTCATTTTTGCGATTTTTGCTATTTCTGCAATTTTCAGGAATTTTTGCAATTTTTGCAATTTTCGGTCATTTTTGCGATTTTTGCAATTTTCAGGAATTTTTGCGATTTTTGCAATTTTCAGGAATTTTTGCGATTTTTGCGATTTTTGCAATTTTCAGTCATTTTTTGCAAATTTTGCAATTTTCGCATTTTGCGATTTTTGCAATTTTCAGGAATTTTTGCGATTTTTGCAATTTTCAGGAATTTTGCGATTTTTGCAATTTTCAGTCATTTTTGCGATTTTTGCAATTTTCAGGAATTTTTGCGATTTTTGCAATTTTCAGTCATTTTTGCAATTTTCAGGCATTTTTGCGATTTTCAGGAATTTTTGCGATTTTTGCAATTTTCAGTCATTTTTGCGATTTTTGCAATTTTCAGGAATTTTTGCTAATTTCAGGAATTTTTGCGATTTTTGCAATTTTCAGGAATTTTTGCGATTTTTGCAATTTTCAGTCATTTTTGCAATTTTCAGTCATTTTTGCGATTTTTGCAATTTTCAGTCATTTTTGCGATTTTTGCAATTTTCAGTCATTTTTGCGATTTTTGCAATTTTCAGTCATTTTTGCGATTTTTGCAATTTTCAGTCATTTTTGCGATTTTTGCAATTTTCAGGAATTTTTGCGATTTTTGCAATTTTCAGTCATTTTTGCAAATTTTGCAATTTTCAGGCATTTTTGCGATTTTTGCAATTTTCAGGAATTTTTGCGATTTTTGCAATTTTCAGGAATTTTCGCGATTTTTGCAATTTTCAGGAATTTTTGCGATTTTTGCAATTTTCAGGAATTTTTGCGATTTTTGCAATTTTCAGTCATTTTTGCGATTTTTGCAATTTTCAGTCATTTTTGCGATTTTTGCAATTTTCAGGAATTTTTGCGATTTTTGCAATTTTCAGTAATTTTTGCGATTTTTGCGATTTTCAGTCATTTTTGCGATTTTTGCAATTTTCAGTCATTTTTGCAAATTTTGCAATTTTCAGGCATTTTTGCGATTTTTGCAATTTTCAGGAATTTTTGCGATTTTTGCAATTTTCAGTCATTTTTGCAATTTTTGCAATTTTCAGTCATTTTTGCGATTTTTGCAATTTTCAGGAATTTTTGCGATTTTTGCAATTTTTGCAATTTTCAGGAATTTTTGCTATTTTCAGGAATTTTTGCTATTTTCAGGAATTTTTGCGATTTTTGCAATTTTCAGGAATTTTTGCGATTTTTGCAATTTTCAGTCATTTTTGCGATTTTTGCGATTTTTGCGATTTTCGCAATTTTCTGTCATTTTTGCGATTTTTGCTATTTTCAGGAATTTTTGCGATTTTTGCAATTTTCAGGCGTTTGCGATTTTTGCAATTTTCAGTCATTTTTGCGATTTCTGCAATTTTCAGGAATTTTTGCGATTTTTGCAATTTTCAGGAATTTTTGCTATTTTCAGGAATTTTTGCGATTTTTGCAATTTTCAGTCATTTTTGCGATTTTTGCAATTACTGCAATTTTCAGGAATTTTTGCAATTTTTGCAATTTTCGGTCATTTTTGCGATTTTTGCAATTTTCAGTCATTTTTGCGATTTTTGCAATTTTCAGTCATTTTTGCGATTTTTGCAATTTTCAGGAATTTTTGCGATTTTTGCAATTTTCAGGAATTTTTGCGATTTTTGCGATTTTTGCAATTTTCAGTCATTTTTGCAAATTTTGCAATTTTCAGGCATTTTTGCGATTTTTGCAATTTTCAGGAATTTTTGCGATTTTTGCAATTTTCAGGAATTTTTGCTAATTTCAGGAATTTTTGCGATTTTTGCAATTTTCAGTCATTTTTGCGATTTTTGCAATTTTCAGGAATTTTTGCGATTTTTGCAATTTTCAGTCATTTTTGCGATTTTTGCAATTTTCAGTAATTTTTGCGATTTTTGCAATTTTCAGTCATTTTTGCAATTTTCAGGCATTTTTGCGATTTTCAGGAATTTTTGCGATTTTTGCAATTTTCAGTCATTTTTGCGATTTTTGCAATTTTCAGGAATTTTTGCTAATTTCAGGAATTTTTGCGATTTTTGCAATTTTCAGGAATTTTTGCGATTTTTGCAATTTTCAGGAATTTTTGCGATTTTTGCAATTTTCAGGAATTTTTGCGATTTTTGCAATTTTCAGGAATTTTTGCTATTTTCAGGAATTTTTTCGATTTTTGCAATTTTCAGGAATTTTTGCTATTTTCAGGAATTTTTGCGATTTTTGCAATTTTCAGTCATTTTTGCGATTTTTGCAATTTTCAGGAATTTTTGCTAATTTCAGGAATTTTTGCTATTTTCAGGAATTTTTGCGATTTTTGCAATTTTCAGGCATTTTTGCGATTTTTGCAATTTTCAGGAATTTTTGCGATTTTTGCAATTTTCAGTCATTTTTGCGATTTTTGCAATTTTCTGTCATTTTTGCGATTTTTGCAATTTTCAGGAATTTTTGCGATTTTTGCAATTTTCAGTAATTTTTGCTATTTTTGCAATTTTCAGTAACTTTTGCGATTTTTGCGATTTTCAGTCATTTTTGCGATTTTTGCAATTTTCCGTCATTTTTGCAAATTTTGCAATTTTCAGGCATTTTTGCGATTTTCGCAATTTTCAGGAATTTTTGCGATTTTTGCAATTTTCAGTCATTTTTGCGATTTTTGCGATTTTCAGGAATTTTTGCGATTTTTGCAATTTTCAGTCATTTTTGCGATTTTTGCAATTTTCAGGAATTTTTGCAATTTTCAGAAATTTTTGCTATTTTCATTTTCAGGAATTTTTGCAATTCTTGCAATTCCTGCAATTTTCAGAAATTTTTGCAAATTTTGCAATTTTTGCAATTTTCAGGAATTTTTGCGATTTTTGCGATTTCTGCAATTTTCAGGAATTTTTGCGATTTTTGCAATTTTTTCTAATTTTCAGGAATTTTTACAATTTTTTCAATTTTCAGGCATTTTTGCGATTTTTGCAATTTTCAGGCATTTTTGCGAAAAAATTCAAGGGACGATTCCTTGTGATATTTCAAGAAATAATGTTCATATGAACATGTGTGCTAACTTGCTTCGAGATACAGGGTATTAATATTTCCATGAAAAATCGTTTTTTTTTATTCATTATTCAATTGTCTTTCCATCAATTTCAATAAAACGTTGTGGTTTTGTTAATAATAATAATATGGAACTCCTTCTGGTGCAATTAGATTCGAAATAATACTTCCAGTGGCGTCACAGTGGGTAAATTTATCGATATTTATGGTGAATGTCATTGTACCCCACGGGTTTTTCTGAGTTTCATATTTTCATTAAATTGAACTATTGGAATAACAACTTTTTTAACCTTTGTATGATTTTAGTATCAAGCTTAGTTTCTGAGGAAACAATAACAATTCGATTTGACTCCAAATTTTAATGTAGGTGTTTTCAAGACTTCCATTAGGATTACTCAATAACCCCAATCACAATCATTTTGAAATTTTAGGGCTTCCTCAGTCTCTAACCATACTGAATTCTGGCACCATGGAAGCTTACACAGGGGGTTTTAAATAAAAACAATTGATACTTCAAACTTCAACATCCTGTATCTCAAAAACCGAGCAAGTTAGAACACATGTTTATATAAACTTTATTTGCTAGAATATCACAAGGATTGTGATTGTGAATTCCATGAGCGCGTAATTGCTGTACATCACGCATTACATACTATACTTTACCTACTGCCATATGGTACAGTCGTCTTCAGAAAACATGTCGCACATGGACGATGATAGCATTCTTAACAACTCCTTCAATAAGAGCGCTGACACCGTCCAACCGCGACATGATGTCTGAAGACGACTGTACATCATAAAAGTTTGGACAAACAGTCTGAATGTTATTTAGATACACCCTGTACATCATTGATGCAAAGTTCCTTTCCAAGCGGGAGAAAATTAATATTATATGATATTATATGGAGTTAAGTCTTTGCCAGATATAAAAAAATGCAAAATCAACATACCATACGATGGTACCTAAATATCTATAGGTAATTCTTACCTCATTGGCTGTATTATGAGTCCCGACGATCCTTATGAAAATCACCGGCCTCGGCGGAAATCGAATCACCTGCCATGATTTGCAGTTCTCTCTGGTATTATCGACCACCATTTCCCATTCCCAGACGTTCATGGAAGATTCTATGTAATAGCTGTAACTCCTGTCGTCACAGTCCCACAGGAGAAGTCTCAAACTCGAAATGATGTAAGGCTGAGCTGAAAAATTTCATCAGATTTGATAAATAGTGAATAGTTTCGACACAAAAAAATCCTAAAATTGAAATATCTGGATTTTGAACACCCTATACCTCTGTAATCATTCCTGCTAGACCCCTAGTGTGATACATTGATGAAATCAGCTCTTCAGGAATAATCTACAAATACAATAAAATACAGGGTGTACCATTTGAAATAACAAGTTGTTTCTGATAGAAATGGCAACACTGTATAGATGAAAATATTTCCACTCACTATTGGAAACGTATTTTTGTAGCTAGATATTATGATCAAATGTCAACAATGTCATTCATCAACATTTTTTAAAAAAGGCCCACCCTGGAAAAAAATTAACAATTCCTATTTTAATCTATCCCAAATCCTACCTAATTGTATGAGTATTGAACCGGAGCCTAGCTGGTGACAGGTATAACCGGAATCCCAATCGTACCGCTTGGTATCTCCGTTCAGCAAAGCATTTCTCGCTCGGCTGACACCTTCAATCACCACCGCACACTTGTCCAGTGTTGCCACATTGTAATTGGGGCAAATGATGTCATTCACCATTTTTGGCAATTTTTGCTTGTACATTGTTTCAAATGAAACCAAATGGAACACCTGATAAACAGTAGAGAGAAAATGCATTTCAGAAAAATTGTTCATGACTTCATAGACAAAGAATTTTTGTAACACATGTATATTCTATTGTATGTGAGTTTTCTCAAATAACTTCAAAGTTTTTATGTTCCTTGCATTCTTAAAAGTATTGAAAAAATTATCAATTGCAAATATTTTTGGTTATCCTTAGAGATCTGATTTTATATTGTATTTATGTATGCTAAAAATGAAATTGGCCCCAAGACTGATCCTTGTGGTAGATAAAATGATACCCTCAGTATTGCCATCAACTAAGGTAGTAGAAAAATAGTTCTGACTATATAAACTCAAAATATGTTGTTTTATTCATTTTGTCATGAATTAATTTAAAAAAACAAACTTAGTTTTTAATGAAGTCATAGCAAAACATTCAAGTGGAACATTGGAAAACAATCTATATTTCAAAATGAAATTATTTTTATTCAATTTATTACCCAATGAATTGAAAAATATATATGATGTAAGCAGATTTAAAGTCAATCTTAAACAATACCTGGTCAGGACAGATTATTGAAATATTTGGCATGATTTGATTACTCAGAATTGAAATGTTATAACTTTCATCTAAAGAAAAAGTATGAATTTGTTTCTACTGATTGGAATTCATTAGTTTTCCTTTCAATATTCTTATTATTATTTTTATATGTATCAATCAATCAGAAGAAAGACCTGTTTTTGATACTGAATATTAAAATGTGCCAAAAAACTGAAAATTACTCTTATTTGACACAGGATGAACTGTTTATTATTGAAAATAATTTGTTTGAGAAGAGATACTGTTTCATGTAATATAACACAACCTGAAAATAAGCAAATTCAAGAAAGCAATGCATAGTAAATGTATCTACCTTATTCACAGTATTATGTGTTCCAACAATTCTGATATACTGAACCACCCTGTTTTTGAAGTACAATTGTTGCCAAGACCTGCAGCTATACTGACTGTAGTCTATGACTCTAACCCAATCTTTTTGTTCCATAGAAACCTCAATATAGTATGAATAAGACCTGAAAGAATATATTCATGAATATCTTAAAAATAGCCTATCAATACTATCAAACAGGGACCATGACAGTACCTTATATCTCTGTCCCACAACAACATTTTGATGTGATTTATGATAGAAGGTGTGCCCAATTTCACTACAATACCATGGTCTCCAGGTCCATTGATGGCATGTCTGGTATACCCTTTTTCCATGTCATAGGTGTAGTAGTCACCATCTAGCAGGTATTCCATGAGTTCACCAGATACCACTTTTGAACCCAGTCTAGGACTTGCCACATTCTCATCCAGAACTTCAATGATAACATAAATGATTTTTTGAGGTTATTTTCTGAATTTTTCTTACCCAACTGTCCTCTGTGAGGTAAACTACTCAATCTGATATTTGTCCTTTCAGCAATTGCATCTAGGAGAGCATCAGGTTTGACCAGACCTGCAGGTCTGACCACAGAGAGTAGATCAGCCACACTCATCAGAGGTAATCTCACACATTTCATGACCAGATCATCCTTGTCTTCATTGACTTTACACCACTTACAGACACCTCGAAAAATTTCAACTTCAGGGGCAAAAAATGAGTCACGTTGTAGAAGCTCAGTCAAAGAGGTCTGAAATTATTATTAATATTATTATCATGAATAATTTTGTATAGAAACAGCTATTATTGATAGTTACCTACTTATTGTAATTACCTGAGACAGTTGTAGAAAAGAGTCCTGCAGCAAAATCTCACTGGCATGTTTCTCCAAAAAGCAATGACACACTTTGACAAGTTTTTCCAGGCCATATAAATGAGCAGTGTCCAGTATGGCACAAACATTTCCTAAAGCAAGCATCTGCCTAAGGTTTTCAGATATGGCAGATTCTAGGTCCTGAAATCCATACTGGTGTGCTAATCCAAGAGTATCAAGTATAACTTCTTCTTTCAAGAGTGAAAGAGACATCAGACCTGTGTATATGTATTTCAGGAGTACTCTGAATGCCTCAAACGGTGCATCTGGAAGTACAATTTCAGTTTGGCTTGATTCTTTGAGGCCACCATAAAGTAATGCCCTGAAATATTTACTTCGAGCTGCTAATATGACCTACAAAGATTTGGTGACTGTTGATGAGCACAGAAAGACCCATATAGTTCATTGATGGTACTTGTTACATGTCAACATAAAATGTTACCTTATGGGCGCCAAGTTTTTGTCCTTCAACTATCAGGGTGACATCTGAATGTACTTGTTCTAAGAATAAAGCAGCCAGATGTTCTGAAACTTGTGCTGAATGTTCGATTTCCCCTGGTCTTGAAGGGATATTCTTTTGATTTGCATTTTGTAAATATTGGTGACTTCCACTACTCATCTGAAAAGGCAATGAATCAGATATGAACGCTACGTTCAAACGACTCACAGCACGAGTCTCCTTCGGATTTTGAATTCACTGGTAGATTTGTTCCTAAACTCACTAGTCACTAAACTGATTTGATTTTGATTTTTTGAGGTCAAATATTTTGGATTTTTTCACTAACCAACTGTGTAAACGAAACGATTGACGTTTCAAGTGACAACTGATAAGTGACAGAACAGCTGACCAGAAATCATCTTCTTTTTATAAATTACACAAGCTTAATGTTAATATTCTCAAGAGTACTTTGCGAAGTACCTACTTTGGTACTTTGTCATATATACCGGAAACACTGTAATGAAAGTTGTATGCCGACAAAACTCTCAAGAACAGAAGAAGAAAACTTGTCAAAATCTCTTTTCTTTTGTCATTTCATTCCACTCTCCTCTCTCCTTCACTGTGGTTTCTTCGTGGGTTTGTAATTTACATTTTTTGAATAAAATCTAAAATGTTTGGCGGAGGGCGTGCACCGATATTGGTTTTGAGTGAGTATTAAACCAGCTTTTATCATCCACCATCCCATTAATACGTAATTCATTCACTACAGGTCAAAATACGAAGCGAGAATCTGGTCGAAAAGTTCAACTGGAAAACATCAATGCCGGAAAGGTAAAAAAGCACGTGCTGCATCTTCTGAAATCGTCTGTTTATTCTTCTATGTTCTGCTTCGTTTGTTAATTAGATAGTTCAATTAATTAATGCAATTTTCAGCAAATCGCCGATGTCATTCGAACATGCCTGGGGCCTCAGGCAATGTTGAAAATGTTGATGGACCCAATGGGTGGTATTGTTATGACTAATGATGGTAACGCAATTCTTCGAGAAATCACAGTACAACATCCCGCTGCCAAAAGTATGATAGAAATTGCTAGAACTCAAGATGAAGAGGTAAAGTAGCTCAATTTTTCTGATGTAGACCTAATTCTTATCATGTTATTCTAGGTTGGTGATGGTACTACTTCTGTGATAGTGCTTGCAGGTGAAATGTTAGCTGCAGCAGAACAATTTTTGGAACAACAAATGCATCCCACAGTTATAATCCGTCAATATAGACAAGCTCTGGAAGACATGATTGGATTTTTAGAAGGCCCTCTTAGTGTACCAGTTGACAGAAATGACAAAGCAGCATTGGCTCAAGTTGTGCAAGGGTGTGTTGGCACAAAATTCATTGGAAAGTGGTCAGACTTGGCAGTAAACATTGCCTTGGATGCAGTCAGCACAGTCTTGCTTGAAGAAAATGGCCGTACAGAGGTAGACATCAAGAGATATGCCAAAGTAGAAAAAATTCCTGGTGGTTCAATTGAGGAATCCCAGATTCTTAAAGGAGTTATGCTCAATAAGGATGTTACCCATCCAAAAATGAGGAGATACATTCAGAATCCCAGGATAATTTTACTGGACTGTGCTTTGGAATATAAAAAAGGAGAATCTCAAACTAATGTGGAAATCACTGGAGATGCTGTAAGTATCACAGATATCTGAGTATATCTACCAGAATCTACCTACTATAAGAAGATGAAAACATGGAAACCTCTCTTTTTAGGATTTCACAAGATTGCTTGAATTAGAAGAGGAGCATGTAAAACGCCAGTGTGATGAAATAACAGCCTTGAAGCCAGACGTTGTTTTTACTGAAAAAGGGGTATCAGATTTGGCACAGCACTATCTTCTCAAAGCTGGCATCACTGCTGTGAGGCGAGTACGCAAATCTGACAACAACAGAATAGCCAGAGCATGTGGGGCCACAATTGTCAATAGAACTGAGGAGTTGCAAGAATCTGATGTGGGTTTGGGAGCTGGACTCTTTGAAATCAAAAAAATCGGTGATGAATATTTCTGTTTCATTGTGGAATGCAAGGATCCAAAGGTAAGAATATACATGGTACATTGATACGTGATGTGAATTTTTTAATGTTGGGATCTCAGATCAAGATATGCAATTGAAAGTTTTCAGAATCTACAGTTTTACTGTAAATGGTGTCTAATTTATGCATCATTTACAGTGCAACTGTATTTTGGTCAGTTAAACTGTAAAATATGATTGGTTTTCAGTTGTTGTACTGTAAATTTTGAGATTTTGTTATGATTTTCTTACCATTGTTGTGCTTCACATTAGTCATATATATAATTCACTGATAATTCACTAATGTTTTGCTGTTAGATTAATTTAGAGTTTCAGATGTAAATCAATCAATGTCTCTGATTCTTTTATATCATCCTAAATCAAATCATGAACTTATACATATTTGACAGTCTCAAGAAGAAACAACATTAAATGTACTACAGATAAAATCATGATTGGAAAATAATTTTCCCCACTATACACATGTATATTTCTTGGGAATAATAAAGATTATTAAAGATTATTATCAATTACAACTACTATAAATCATGATTGATAGGGATACCTATATGGTTTTACTGTAAATAATAATTCATGATCATTATTTATTTAATTCAAATTCTGGCTAATTTACAGATTCAACTAGAATCAGTCATATTTCACTTGTGCTGTGCATAATGTCTGAGTTACAAATAAATTATAAATTAGGGGTTATACACAGTGTAAATTATGGAAAGAGTTGAACAAAAAATGTTGAATGGTAATTCAGAAATCAGAGCTATTGTAAAATACTGAAGACAGAATTTCAAGTTTCTCAAGAAATTTTTATTTATTTATTTTATTTATTTATTTCAGTTATTGCATTACATTCTCTTCTTCATTGATACATTTCATACAAATAATATATAAAGTATAAATAATTTTCTAGTAGGAATGACATGAATGATCAGACAGTAATTCCTGGTATAAGATCATTCATGAAGTATTATCAACTGTTGTATAATTGAAATTACAAATAGTGAACAAAACTTACATATCATCAAGATATCTCAAAATAACAGTCATATTATAGTGAACAAGAAGTGGAAAAATAAAAACAATGAAAAAAAAAAAAAGGAAATTCATAGTCTTTCAGCTTTGATCATTCCTTTGCATATAAATATATTTCTTAACTTTATTTTTGAATTGCATAATATTTGGGCTGTTTTTGATATCATCTGGTAATTTATTGGATTTCGAAATCGCCTCAAGTGTAAACTTTTTTTGCCCAAGATTAGAATTTGCAGCTTCAAGATGAAACAAGTTATATTGTCTAGTGTGATGATCATGAATTTCGGAATTCCTGATTGATTTGACAAAATAATTCATGAAAGGCTGACAAAACATGTTGTGGTCACATTTTTTCTTATTATAGAGCTTTATGCCCACAAAGAAGTTGTCTTTTAATACTACTTTTTCTTTGAGAAATGCTACATTCTAGAGATTATTCCTTGTAAAAGGTCTTCCAACAAGGAACGGTCGATGTTGACAGTGTGTGGCGGCCATGTTTTTTTGGGAGCATCTATTTCATTCAGTCACTGATGCCAAATTACCATGGCAAGTTACACGATCGAGCAGCATGTCCAAATGATTAAACTTATTATCAAAATGAGCGTTCGTTAGTGCAAACGTTGCGCGACTCTCCAAAGTTTGGTAGCCAAATTCGAGACAACCGGTTCGGTGAACAAACAACCAACACCTTTACGTCAAAGAAACGCCAGATCGGCCGATAATATCGACGCTCTCTGTCAGAGTGTGCAGGAGACTCCGAGGCAGTCTATTTCTCGCCGTGCACAAGAACTCGACCTTCTGCAGACTTCAAATTGGAGAATTTTGAGCCGGGACTTGGGCCTGCACCCGTACAACTGACCCAGCAGCTCAAAGTTTATGACCATAGGCAACGCCGTCTGTTCGCTCAGTGGGCTTCGAAACATTTGGAAGAGGACTCCGATTTTGGCCTAAAAATAATCCCATTTTTAGATGAATGGTTTTGTTAATAAGCAAAATTGCCGTATATGGGACGAAAACAATCCACAGGAGGTTCACCAGGTGGCAATGCATCCACAATGAGTTACTGTTTGGTGCGAATTTTGGTCCGGCGGCGTCATTGGTCCGAACTTCTTTAAAAATGACGTTGGCGAGGCCATCACCGTCAACGGCGAGCGCTACAGATCAATGATTAACAATTTCTTTTGGCCTGTATTGAACGATATGGACGTGGACGACATGTGGTTCCAACAAGATGGCGCAAAGTGGCACACAGCGAACGATACAATGGACATTCTGCACGAACGGTTTGAGGGTAGGGTTATCTTTCGCAGAGGTGATGTGAATTGGCCGTCAAGATCGTGCGATTTGACATTTGAATGATGTCATATTCCATAATTAAATAATGGCAAAAATGGGCCTTTGAAATAAAATGAAAAAATCGTTAATATACACAGCTTGTTTTATTGAATTACAACATCGACCGGTCCTTGTTGAAAGACCCTTTACTTTGGCTCCAAACTGTGGTATACTTTGTCAAAAACTGATTGGATACTGATTCTGATCATTAATTCTAGGCTTGCACTATTCTGCTTCGTGGTGCCAGCAAGGACATTTTGAATGAGATTGAAAGGAATCTCCAGGATGCTTTGCAAGTGGCTAGGAACATAGTTCTGTCTCCAAGATTAGTACCAGGAGGTGGTGCCATAGAAATGGCAGTGGCCCAACGTTTGTTGGAAAAAGCCACCCACGGACCTTCCAGAGCCCTAGCTCATGCACTAGGTTAATAAAAAAAATGTCCATTTGTTAAATTATTTCATCTGACCTATTTTTTTTTTTAGAAATTATTCCTCGTACTTTGGCTCAAAACTGTGGTGCTAATACTATCAAAACTCTAACTGCACTTAGAGCAAAACACGCCAATCACACAGATTCATCTAAACCTTGTACATGGGGAATTGATGGAGAGACAGGTGAATTGGTAGAGATGGACAAAAAGAAATTATGGGAACCGATTTCGGTAAGTTTCAAGATATTAGCTATTCAAATTGTTGAAAACTCTTTTCTGGGCTTCCTAGTTCCTTCGTTACATTGGACAAACTTGCAGTTTAATGAGGTCAAGATTTAAGGATCATATTCCCATATCTCATTTCTATCTTTGGTTGATTATTTCTCATGTTTTATAGTTTGGTGAATAATACTCTGATATCAATTCCAATACTTTGGACAAACTTGGAGTTCATTGAGCTTCAGAGTCAAGGAGCATATTCAGAATATTGTTATATAGAACAACCTCGCATAAAAGGAAGATATTTCAGATCTCCTTTTTTTTGCTGATACCCTGATTTCAATATTGATACTAGGGATATGACCGATACTGGTATATATCAGCTATATCGTCCTCCTTGACTGATATTGATATCGGCCCATATGTAAAGCACAATATCGGCGTATATCGGTAGCGGCTCAAACAAGAAAAATTGCTAAATATTCTATTTACTAATCATCTTTTATAGAAATTATTCACAAATAGAAAAAAAGTAAGTTTTTGCAAAATACCAAAATTGAGCTTCCTGCTCTTTCCTGAGTTTTCATAAACATTTCCAGCTGAAGAAAATAGCTGTTCACTAGCAACACTACTTGGCGGGGGTACTAAAGAAAATCATTGCAACTTTGTACTTCATTGGAAAAGTGTCATTTTTTACGCCTACCAAGTCATCGATTTTATTTATCATACCAGTGTTTTCTTTATATGGTACTTTTTTGCTGTCATATCAGGGATTTCTTCCAGAGTATTCGAAAACAAGTTGGGAGAAATCAATCAAGGGCATTTTCCTTTGTTTGATTTTTCAGCAATTTTTGCTTAAGCATTATTGTCGGATTCGTCGCCAACTTTAGACTCTCCGAAATTATTTTTCAGCAAGTCTGAATCCTGTCATTAATGTTCAGGATTTAATTTTGTTTCAATCTGTTTAGCTATCATTTCACGATTCCTTCTCTATATGTGTTTTATCGGATTCATGTCGGGAGACGAGTTTTTTTTATGTCAGAGTGCACGAGAGGGAATCCTTATTATGTTGGAAGTACATCGTGCGTACCTTTGGAATCTAGGAAGAAAAAAATAGGCAATATTATGTTGTTTATGCACTTCAGGGATTTAAAGGGTACCTTTATTCCTTATTTTCCGGAAAAAAAGTGGTACTTCAGATCCCTAGGGATTTGCAATAAAAGCTAAATTTAGAAATGTATTTTCAAAATGTCTGTTGCAATTGTGACTTTTATCATCGAATATACGCTCCACAATGACGGTGCTTTAAGCTTTTTTGACTTTTCCAAGAAATATGGTAGCAGTACCTTTTCTTCTGTACATTTTTCTACCTTCCGTTCTTTGCACCATTCGATGAACTCAGATAAATGTTTTTATATTGTTCTACAGATTTTCTTGGTAATACCATTTATTTTCGTTATTTTTTCTTTAACGTTTTATCTATCCTGAAATGTATAAAATAGTATAATATACACCTCGGGACTAGAGTGTTTTTAAAATATAGCCCTCTCGTTGGTCTAGGCATTCAAAATACCACTTTATACCCTAGGTGTACAATGTACTATTTAAAACTCCAGTAACAATTCTCGGCCGATGTGGTCGTTCATTATCATCAACCAATATAAAAATGTCACCAAAAGTTTTGGCAACTGGAACAACAACTTCCCTATCCATTGAATGTCTTGATACCGAAGAGCATTCATATTCTCTCTCAAAATAAACAACGTACCATGGAGCGACGAGTTTTTCATTAAAAATATTGTGGTAATTATTATCTGCATTTTTCCCTAGTATTTTCATTTATTGCTACATTGACTATAATGGAAAATCTACAACACATTGTACAGTAATGGCGTTGAAAATATGTCAATCAAAAATTCTGTTGAAGTGGAGTTAATGGTGGTTGAAAATATCAGAATACAATGTCTTGTAAAAAATTCCACATATCAAAACATCCTGTATGAATCCTCTTGAATCCAAAACCATTTCGAGAAAACTCGGCATCCTTCATCTTAGCGCCCTCATTAAAAAATTAAAATAAATCCCTGTGAAACGGGGCGATCCCAGACTTTTCGAAAATAATCACATATTCGGATATCACCCTGTAGGTCATCATGTCAGAAAGGTGGAATAACGAAGATATACTGGAGTTGTAGTCAATGAAATGAGCTATTAGAATCTTGAAAGAAATTGAGAATTGGTTGATCCAATCCAAAGTTATGCTGCTTTAAAAATGATAGAAATGTTTGCTTGTCTCACTTCAAAAGTGGGCAGTTTAGATCAAACTTGCAGTGTATTGAGCACTCGAATCAAGGAGCATACTCCCATACTCATTTTTACATTTCTTCACCTTATGAATTGAACAGTATACCTTTCTACTATTCTGTAGATTCACGAAATAATCGTGAGCAAAAACATTATCATAAGTTCCATATTATTATATAATGTTCCATACATATTGTATTGTTCTATTCGAATCAGAATTAACAGTAGTATTTTCCATTTTTATAACAATATCATTTGTCTATTTTTACCATTTTCACAGACGATGGCTTGTTCCAACGCAAAAAGCTGAATAATTTCAGCTTTTTGCGTCATTTCAATTACAGATTTTGCTCCACCAATCAGAATCTGAAATTAAACGTGAATTGAACCTATGCAATGTCATTCACAACAACAACAAAATCAACATGACTTTTTACGGCTTTTCTCAGTTGCCTTGGTTTTGTCATTTGTGTTTCATCCTGAAATGAAGTTAAATAATCATAACAATGATATTAATTAGATAGTTGATGATATTCATAGAACTGGCAGTGACGTAAATTGATCCACATACAATACTTGAAGAGAAAATTCAATCATCAAGAAGAAAGTAATAAATTGAACAGTACCTATACCTATCTAATATTCACGAAAAAAATCATTAGCAAAAACATTATCAAAACTTCCATATAGAAGGTTTCATACATCATACATGTATTGTTTTATCAGAACTAACAGTACCTAGTAATTTCCATTCAACAATATCATTTTCTATTTTTACTATTTCCACAGACGATGGCTTCTTACAACGCAAAAAGCTGAATATTTTCAGCTTTCTGCGTTATTTCAATCACAGATTTTGCTTCACCAATCAGAAAATGAAACGTAAAAAGCAAAACGTAAAAAGTTTGGTTGTGAACGCCGCTTTTATTCTTGATTCCTGGCATTTTCGTGGTCTTATGATCTGTTTGTTAGGTCAAACTTCAAACGTATAAAACGGCAGTCGAAACAGCTATCCTTTTGCTCCGTATTGATGGTATCGTTTCCGGATCGAAAAAGAAGGGTGACAAAGAAGTACCGACTCCCAGCCAGATGCAGCAACAGCAACAGATGGGACAAGAGGACTAATCTAGCTTTTTTTTTTAATTTCTAATTATTGTTAACGAAACGCTTCATTATTCACTATTCACCACATTTATCCAGTTTTTCTTTGTACTTTAACAACATCAATTAATAAAATAAAGGTTATTTATGCTAAAAAAAATTGTAAATTGGGTATTTATTGACTTGTCCCCAGGGGGTACAAATCTTCTTCTAATATACAGGGTGTCCGCTAAAAGGAGGTCAATCCATTAACCACATATTCCTTGAACAAAAACAATATGAGTTTCTAAATTTTAGCCCTTCATATTCGGTATACAGGCTGTCGAAAGTTGGAAATTAAAAACTGTTTTTTTCTAATTACTCGCGTATTTGATAAGATATTAATCTCAAAATTGGTACATTACTTCAGCATAAAGAGTTACATCGTGTGAGGAAAACAAAACAGAAAATAACTGTCAAATATTCAAGATACTGGGGGTCAAGTTCACACTTACCCCCATATTTTGTTTGTACGTGCGCTAATGACTTCCTATCTATTTTCCTTCAAGTGTTCAATCATTTTTGAGTATTTTTTGTTTCCTGTAAAATTTCGATTGAATCATTTGTTTATAAGATAATTCGAAAAGTAATGGTTGTTGTTTGATGCCTATGCGGCTTAGGTAATCTCATAATGTTCACATACTCCTATTTATTTCGTCGAAATTGAAAGAGGGCGTATCTTTTTACGTACGAAAAGGTAAATATGGAAATACCGGGTGCTCGGAGCAAATGTACTAAAATAATTTTTACAAAAAAAAAAATGTAAAAAGTGTAAAAATTATTTTAATACATTCGCTCTGAGCACCCGGTATTTCCATATTCACCTTTCCGTACGTAATAAGATACGCCCTCTTCCAATTTCGACGAAATAAATAGGAGTATGTGAACATTATGAGATTACCGTAAGCCGCAAGGCATCAAACAATAACCAGTTCTTTTCGAATTATCTTAAAAACAAATAATTTTATCGGAATTTTACAAAAATCAAAAAATACTCAAAAATGATTGAACACATGAAGAAACATAGATAGGAAGTCATTAGCGCACGTACAAAAAAAAATGGGGGTAAGTGTGTACTTGACCCCCAGTATTTTGAATATTTGACAGTTATTTTCTGTTTTGTTTTCCTCACACGATGTAACTCTTTGTGCTGAAGTAATGTACCTATTTTGAGATTAATATCTTATTAATTACGCGAGTAATTAGAAAAAAAACAGTTTTTAATTTTCAACTTTGACACCCTGTATATCGAATAAGAAGGGCTAAAATGAAAAATGGTATTTAGAAACTCATATTATTTTTGTTCAAGGAATATATGGTTAATGGATTGACCTCCTTTTAGCGGACACCCTGTATAAAATTCACAGTGATTGTGGCCAAGCTCCTCGTAAACGGCTTGACCGATTCTTATGAATATATTTGTCCATATTCGGTCGGTCGAAAACTATTTTTAAATTGGAGAATCAAGATGGCGTATCCAATATGGTGGACGACTTTTGTAAGTATGATCCGATTCTATTCAAAATTGGTCTGGGGGTTTTCGTGGTCGGAGTCGTCGAAGATTATGATTCCTTCGTCAAAGTTAGGAAATTCAATGTGGCGGACGAGTTTTGAAATTATCATCCGATATTCAAAATTGGAATCTGGGGTTTTTCGGGGTCGGAAATTGTTTATTTCGTCTAAATCGGAAAATTCGAGATGGCGGATCCAATATATGGCGGACGAGTTTTGTAATTATGATCCTATTCTATTCCAAAATTTGTATCCGGGGGTTTTTGGGGTCAAAGGTTATGAATATTTCGTCTAAATTGGGAAATTCGATATGGCCAACGAGTTTTCTAATTTATAATCCAATTCATTTTAAAATTGAAAGGTGGGGGGGGCTTTCGGGGTCGGAGATTATGATTTGTTCGTAAAAATTTGGAAATTCAAGATGGCAGACCTAATATGGCGACGAGTTTTTGTAATAAATAGTAGTTTGAAAAATTTATGAAACGCGCTTTTATAGATTGCTAAACTAAAAAGAAGTAGAAAATTATAAATATCAGTTTGAAAATCTAAAGCTTTTACACTACACACTGTTTTACCACCAACCAAACCGATTTTTTACACCTCGACACGTGTTTCGCTAACTATGTTAGCATCTTCAGGAGAAGATTACTGATTCATTTACATTTATCTACTTGTTGAATATTATTTTGTGATCGTCAAATACGGATTAATATTTCTTGTGCAATTCATTTATTTTACCATATTCAGTTTTCACGAACCAGTTGGAACAAAATTTTGGTTCTCGACCATATCATATACAGGGTGTTTCATAATTGAATGCTGATCCTAAAGGGCGATAATCCTTGGATGATTTTAAGAAAAATTCTTCATGTGAACATAGGTCCGTAACAGCTCCGTTTCTGAGATACAGGATGTTGAAATTTAACAAAAAAAATCAGTTATTCCCCAATATCCCTGGAACCGCTCTGGCTTTTTTCTTCAATTTTGGTACATGCCGAGTATGAATAGAAATACATTTTTTCCATAATGGAGGATTTCTTAATTTCCATCAGTGGCGTCCCTGATAACATACCCTGTCATATTCATCAAAATAATGATACGCCACTGTCTTTTTTCCAAATGAATATTATTTTTGTAATTATCCTCTATCTTCTCATAAAAATGATCTCTTGTCTTTTTTTCGTCCGGCGAACGGTTTTTGAGTTAGAAAATAAAATGCATTCATTTGCTTGTCCCTATTCGATTTTCACTCTTAGTCATAATTTCACAATTGTGGTAACCAAAAGATCTGAGCAATATTTTTATAATTTTATGGTAACTATTTTTAAGTATATGTAATGAAGAAAAAAGCCAGAGCGGTTTCAAAGATATGGTGGAATAACTGATTTTTTTGTTAAATTTCAACATCCTGTATCTCAGAAACGAAGCTGTTACGGACCTATGTTCACATGAAGAATTTTTCTTAAAATCATCCAAGGATTATCACCCTTTAGGATCAGCATTCAATTATGAAACACCCTGTATATCAAGTATAAAATTATTTTTACATTAAAATTTTCACCATAAAGTACTTATTGCATCTGCACAAATTCATAAATTTGATTTATGTTGATTTTTATTGTTCATAGCTCTTTTAGGAATCGAAAACAATGACAGGGGCAATGGCCATTGTAGGTTCCTATGTTTGAAAATAATGAGTATTTTTTAGTTCTTTAGTGTTTGGAAGTCTGCCTAAGTATAACATTATTTTTGCATTATAATCTTCACATGTCAAGTCAATGACGGCTTAATATCAAGTAAGCTGCCGACATTGTATAATGGGGGAGACCATCACTGATTTTTTAAAATGACATTATCGTGAACTCTATACTGAAAAACTACCAGCGAATTAATTTTGAATTTTGTCATTCATGCTAAGACGATGTAAAAAATAAATTAGAATATGTCCATTTCAAAACACACAATTCCTGCGCCATTTGAAATTTTGTCAATTCATTGGTGTGACTGGTGCGACGTCTTATTCCCAACACGCCTATTGTCCTTGAACTGACCAATCACACTGCAACACTGCAGAATGACGAGGTATCAGAGAGAGATATATAGCTACAGTTCGGGACTAATACGTCACGACTCCACCATCATATTTGGCTGTTTGAAATATCGAATGAAATATGCTGATTTCAAAACGATATAGATTCGATTCCCTTCAACTTTAACTCATATAATATTGATTGTACATCAAACGTAAAAATCATGTTTCGTCGATTGAAAGAGGTTTGAACGGATTTCTTCTCTCAGTGGTCTTCCCCTACTTGAATAAGTGAAATGCCAAAAAAAGCTTGAGAAATATTCATTTCGGTTAACTCGTCGAGAACCAGTGCATTTACCCTATAGGTATGTATACCTAGGTAAATAAAAACTGGCATAATTCATTTCATGCCTATACCTGTTCATATAGATCCAATCTAGGTCTAACAATGTTACGTAACTAGACTCTCAATGGAAAATCTTCGGTCAATCAAATAATGAATCTTCAAAATGCCAGACATTTCTTTAAAACTCATTTTAAATGCCAACTTCTTGTCGAGTCACTCGAGTTTGCCCCCTCCCCCTCTCTCTAAAGCAAATTCATAAATTCAATGAGTCCAATTCAAGGTTTGTGCATTGTGATATGAACAAAACAAGCAGGCTGTGAGCAGGTCTTTCTGCACCTCGCCCATAACATAATGCCGAACGGCTCAAACTCTCAACCAGCTAACAAGGACGTGGCAGGGGTGATTCCTAAACAGTCATGTCATGGGCGTCATGTCGGAAAACCTGTTACATAAAACAAGGACGGCGCGACGTGTATGGGTACGCGAGACGGCAGACGGAGAGGAAATTCCGCTAGATTAAAGGGGAACGGAGATAGCGGGCGATCCCGCAGAATTCATTACGGCCGAGACATGGGCGCTGCATTGGACATTCCAGTGGGGTACGAGAAAATGATACATAATTATTAACTTCATATGAATGATGTCAAATTTGATGAGCAAATTTATTTGAGTGCGCAATGTTTTATTTTTTTTTCATGTTCTGAATCCCACGAAAAGGGATATCCTGTAATGTTCAGAGAACATCGTGAGAACCAAGGGTGACCACGAAGGGGTGCGAAACCTCAACTCGACGAGTTAATCTCGCGGGGACTGCCAAGAGAGGAACAATTGTTGATATTTCAGAAGAGCATCGTCCATGAAAATATCTATAAAATACAGCCAGATCGCTAACTTTTTTACGGTGTTTCAGAGAAGTGAGTGAGTTTGTGAGCGAGGCATCACCCACGAGACGAGTTGCCCTTTTTTGGACAGAATCCAACAGTTTCAGGGTATTTTTTGGTGCTGCACTCCAAATATAGGAACAGTATTCCAGGACAGATCGGATCTGTGCCTTATAGATCATAATCAGCTGATTGGAAGTGAAATATAGCTCCTGGCCCGAAACAAAAAACCAAGTTTTTGGGATGAACTTTTAGCAATTGATCTCACGTGATTTTCCCAAGAAAGGTTATTGCTGATAGTAATACCAAGCATCGAAAAGGATGTCTTCAAAAGGTATGGTTAC